TATTATATATTAAATATATATATATATTTTAAAGAGTCTACACTGTACCACAGATTTCTACCTGCATAAAAAAGCCAACTTACTCCAATAGGTCTAGGTTTCCCCTTGATGACAAAGACCTTGTAGGAATCTCTGAACACACAGTGGAATTTGTCTGGCATCATTACACCATCTCCAGCGTCCTTGAGATTCCCAACAGGGATAGTGATGATCATCGAGCCATTACATGTAAATGTCTTCATCGTTCTCCTGTGAAGCAAAAACAGTAAAAACACTTTAAATTGCTGGTGATGTGTTGAATTCGGGTGATGTCAGGAATTCGGTGATATACCTTTTATTTTTCTCTGTACTCGAATCAGACCTGAATGTTGACCTGCTTTGGCAAGTGTGTTTGACAAGGAAATGATCTGGCATGCCAAATGTCTTTCTGTCCCCCACCCCCCAACACACACACACACACACACACACACACACACACACACATGCATACATACAAATACACACAAACCCACAAAATTCTTGCATGCAGATTGATTTGATAAATATTTAAAACTATCTCATATTTTGACTTATTTATGTAAATTACTTTAAAGACAAGTGGTTTTTGTTGAATCAGAAATGCTATGGCTTAAAACGTACGTACCATGGTAAAACATAATAAGGTCGGTGAGGAAGTTGTGTGAGATGACCTCATCTTTCAAAGTTTTCACAGGAAAGTGTCATGTCTAAAGAGTGAGGCACTTGTTAGAAACAGATACAGTGTGAAATGTTTTGAAACATACTGCTGAGGCCAAACGTGGTAAGAAAGATATATATTAAATTACATTTAACTTTCTTGTACGTATTTGTTGTACAGAATTTGAATTTGCAAGTTTGTATATACATGTATGTATAGGGTTGTAGCTGAGGTTGTGTGTATACACATGTTAAATGCGTCATGAGAAACATTAAATTCTGCTAAGTGTTAGGAAGTGCTGTTAATGTTTTGTGTTATATCATTTTGTATTAAGTCACAGAAGGTTAATTACGACAATATGATAAATTAGCAATGCATTATTATGTTATATTAAAATAATTCAGTTCGTTTGATGAAAACTAATCGGATTCATATCAAACCTGCTCTGTATACTAAGTAATTCTGCACAATTCTAGAGCCTAAAATTATGATAGTGCTTTGGACTGTATTATCTCTTTCCAGTTTCTTAAGTCAGAACACAAAGTACGCTTAGGAATGACCACAAGAAAACCATGTCTTGTATGGTATCAACCATGTGGCCAGTTAAAGGAAACACCTGCAGAGTGTTTTACTGCTTATTGAAGTTGTATACTTATCGTACTGTATCGTAGCGCGTTACCAAAAATCAACAATAAGTCTCTTAATAAGTGTTGGGTCACCATAAGCCATCAGAACAGCTTCGGTGCACCTTGGCATTGACTCCACTAGTCTCTGAACTAATGGGATGAAAAGATATTCTCCCAGATATTTGGTGTTTTGGTGATGCTGGTCAGTCCAAAAGCTCCTATAGGTGTTGGGATCTGGTGACTATGAAGGTTGTTGCATATGATTCACATCATTTTCATACTCATCAGACAGTAACTCCTCGTGTCCTGTGAATGCGGGCACTGTCATCCTGGAAAAGACCAGTTATTCAGGGTTTTTCCTTTAAAACAAATGTGTATTATCTTGTGTAATATGCTTAATTTTTGTTTGTTTAGTTAGCTTTGTGGTCCTTTTCAAAGCTCTTCTTTATGGTGATTTAGGACTGCATTATAGTAGAAGATATATTTAATATCTTGTCCACTGGAACACACATATGAAAAAGCAAGTTTAAAAATGACCACAAAGTTAAATCACAAGTTGACAGTGTCAGTGACAATTAAAATCCTTTTTTAAAGTTTTTAAGCCTCTTTAGAGTGTTATATTAAGGGTTTCAGTTTTTCTGGTCACTCTGTGAACATTTTAGGCTACTTTAATGTTTGTCCCATGCTGAGACCACAGGACAAATAATTCACAAATGATTTTAAACGCTCTATGTTATAATATACTGTATATATAAAGATTTTCACATGATCCCTCCAGATCAGAGAAGCACCATGGCCTGTGCCGATGTTGACATGGACATCCTTAGCGATGCTGAGGAACCAAACAGACCTGGCAGAAAAGAGCCGGTGATGCGATACTACCAAGCTTCAGAGCTTTTACCAGGCAACAAAGGGCCGCTGCATGATCTGCTGCAGAAACAACCTGCGGTGCTGGGGGTATGAATGTTGGAACAGCTCAGCAAATACAAACGCATGAATACTTGACTCTTGATCCAATTGAACTCAAACTTATCTAATGTAACAGAAATTAAATAAGCAAAAGATATATTTCACATCTGTAAACGATAAACATATTAGTCTTCATATGTGTAATCAGTGGGCTGGATTTGTAAATCATCTTTATCCTTAAATAATAGAAATGCAACTTTACAAATTTATGCACACACACAGAAACTCATGCTCTGCTTACTCTGAGCTGTTAGGGTGTTTGTGTTACTTCAGGATGCAGTGAGGACGAGCCAGGGGTCAAACTACCACTGTTTCTGGTCAACATGCTCAGCTGGGGTTGTCTGTATATATGTGTATATAGTTTCTCACTTTGCAAACACTAAAGTTTCTGATCAGATGTGTCCTCATTCCTCCATATGACTAATTTATTGTCTAAAATATTTATGGTTCAGTCTGGATATCACAAACAAATTACACATGTATTAAAGAGAGATGTCTAATATAAGCCACACCCAACGTGCAGAGCTGGGCAGCAGCAACAGGAAATAGTTGGTTGGAAGGTTTTGTGGTATTCTGCTTTTTGTAAATGCAGAAGTTTCACACAATCATTTCTATTTCACACAATGAACATGTGTGATCTGCTGCACACAGTTTTGTTATTTGCTTGTTTAAATCTTGTTTATCTACTATAATTTGGATGAATGATGTTCCGATTTTGCAAACAAGAAATCTAAGTAACAAGCTTAACAAAAACGTCACAAATATTAATGAGCACCTTGTACTACACAGTCTATTCATATACTATGTATTTTGGTTATTGGTTATTAAAAATACGTGTGTGTGTTTATTTGGTAGCGCTTTACAGTGAGGACAGATGAATTCGGGCATGAAAATCCCTTTTCCAGCACTAAGTACATTCAGAATGTACTCAGCTCATGCATTTCTAAATCAAAGTGAATTATATATGTAAGATTATGCCTAATTATGATTTAGTTGTTCTCATAGACATGCACTTACAGGCCAATGTATGTGTCCCTCCTGTACACAAGCCAAATAAGCACAGGTAGAAAAAAAAACTTCAATCAAGCATCACCTGTAGTTGTTGCCTAGATTTGAACAATGTGTGAATACAACTCCATTCTGTTTATTTTTATGAAACGAGGCGATACATTAATTATATTTACGGACAGTATTAATGGAATTTATGTTATGGTGAACATTATACAATTATTTATAAATTCAGATTTTACTCTTATTTTTGTTTGTTTTGTTTCTTCGTGTTCCTGTGTCAGTCTCTGCAGATTGTGAGCGGTTTCCTGAGTGTTGGAGTGGGAATACTTTTTGCTGTGACCCAGGAGATGAGTGACTCCCTCTGCACTCTGTTCAGAGTTTCCCACCTGACTGGAGCACTCGTAAGTCTCTGTTCAAACACTACAAATCAATGTCAGAGTAAAGCACACTTCATTTTTGTATGAATCTTTGAGTCAAACTGTGACTGACTTCCCTTTCCTCTGCAGTTCATCATGGCTGGATTTGTGTCCAACCTGTTGTTCAAATATCGAGAATTACTTCGTGTATGTACAACTCCACAGTGGCCTGAGAAATAATAGATTACAGCCAGCAAAAAGGATTATTATTTGAACAATCACTGTATGATTTTTGTTCCAGGTGTCCCTCATGGTGAATGGTGCCTGTATCGTTGTAGCTGCCATTGCAGCTTGTCTGATATGTGTTGACCTGGCTAGATGGGACGAAAAAAATAATCATTATCTGAACGTAAGACCATAAATATGAGAAAATGAAACACTAAGACTGAAATAGTACCCCAATAGATATTTAGCCATGTTTGCTTATATTTACTTGATGAGCTCTGTGTTTCTAACAGATGGAGATACTGGAACTTTGTGTGCTGGGGCTTGAGGTTTGCCTCTCTGCAGTCCTCTGCTTCTGGTACTCTAAAGAGATACGAGCCAAGTCACCATGATCAAGCTGCTGACACTTGTTAAGAAGGTTTTATGCTTTAAAATAACTGTTTGTATATATAGCACCATGGGACGATAGATAAGTTCTTGAAACCAGAAAGCAGAACAAGAAAGAAGTTGTAGATTGTGTGTGGCTTTTAGTTCCGCCTTGATTGCCTGTATCAGAGATGAACCACCTGTTGAACAGCCCAGGCTGTGGTCTGCATCTGATGTTTGACGGTGACTAAGAACTCAGGGCTTGTGGTCAACAAATGTCAGCCTTTCTCACGTGGATTAAAAAGCTGCTCTTCATCTCTCTCGATTTCTGCACCTCTTTGTTTAACTGTAGCGGTGGATCTCATAGCACAGCTCTGTCTTCCTATCTGTAAGGGTGTCTGTGTGTGGTTTTACACTGTGCTTTTTTATCTGTGGAAATATCTGCTACTTGTTTTCAGCTGCACTCAGCCGGCCTCACGCCTGAACTACAGTGCCTTGCGAAAGTATTCGGCCCCCTTGAACTTTGCGACCTTTTGCCACATTTCAGGCTTCAAACATAAAGATATAAAACTGTATTTTTTTGTGAAGAATCAACAACAAGTGGGACACAATCATGAAGTGGAACGAAATTTATTGGATATTTCAAACTTTTTTAACAAATAAAAAACTGAAAAATTGGGCATGCAAAATTATTCAGCCCC